CAAAACTCCACTGTTCATGAGATCCAAAGACTGGTGGACGCTCCTACTACATAATTAAGAAATCGCTGAACTTCTTTGACAAAATAAAATTCTCATACTAAAATGCTACCAACGTCCCTTCTAACTCTAACTTTCTGTACTTTGTCTACAGATAATCTTGACCACTGAGGAATGTTAAAATGGTAATGCCCTTGGTTTTTATTCACAGATATCATCTAACTTCTTGTAAAATGACACATGTGAAATAGCAGAAAGATTCTTTTCAGAGAAAGATGTTATCTTAGTAACTGTCTTGCTTATTTTTCAGGAGTTAAATAGCCAGAAGACTCAGGATCACAGCAAATACATAGAATATTATTTGGTCCTGGATCATGGCGAGGTAATTAGTATCAGATAACGTTGTCCCTGAAAATCCTTTTCCATGTAAATTTACTTATGATGTGAGATAATAAATACTTAGGTCTTTTTTTAAAATTAAGTTTACTGGTACCCTTTAGATATACATAATGATCACATCCTTTATAGGGAACTTGTACCTGTGCACAGTGTATTGTAGTGCAGGGCTGAGGAAATAGTTCTGCAGTCTAAGCGCCTGCCTGGCAAGCACAAGGACATGTATTTGATCCATGCCAGTATCTCATGCCATGCTGGCCCAGGAACCCCAGGTGCGCCCTGCCATCCACTGAAACAAGGTGTGGTGGTGCACGCCTGTAATCCCATCACTGGGGAGGCTGAGAAAGGAAGATCACTATGAGCCCAAGCTGTGTAGTGAAACCTGGTACCAAATAAATAAATAAATAAATAAATTTATTTCTTTTCTTTTTCTGTATTTAGGGAAGGGTGTACAGGATCTACAGGGTCTCACTACTGGATCAGACTCATAGTGATTCTCCTGTTTACAGCCTCCCAAGTGCTGGGATTATAGGCGCATGCCGCCATACCCAGTCTCAATCACCATCCCAGTGAGCCTGGGTGGCGGGGCCCACAGGCACACCAGGCATTGAAGGCTGCTGAGCTCCACCAAAGCAGGCGCCTTAGTCTGCTGAGCTATCAGGCCGGCCTCGATCATTTTCAATATGTCATAGCTCCTCTTTCTGTTCCCATCCTCCTATGCCTTTTCCCTTTACTCACGAAGCTTTGCCTTCATTTGTCCTTTTTCTCAGTCTTCTTTTCCCTTTCTCCTGCCACACCTTATTTTCCTTTCCTTTTGAAAAATTTCTCATTTCAACATACAATATCTATTGTATAGTTTGGTTCTTATTTACACTTTTAATTTCTCACACCAGAGAGACAATGCAAAGCACACGCTTGCCTACTTTATGTCACCTAAGAGTACGTCCTCACGGTTCACTCATTTTCCGATGCATGTCTCAGGTTTACCCTTCTTTAGGGCTGAGTACTGCTCCATTGTTTAAAAAATTCATCTTTTAAAAATCTATTTGCCAACTGATGGGCATTTGGATTGCTTCCCAGATTTAGATACTAAAACTGTGCTGCTATAAACACGGGTGTACATGTATCTCTGTGATACGACGCTTTTAATTATCTAGGAAGATAGCAAGAAGTAGAACAGCTGGGTCAAATGGGACCACTAGTCCTAGTTTTTTGAGGAATCTCCACACTGATTTCCACAGTGGTTGCACTGTCTGTACTCCCACCAGCAGCAGAGAAAGGTTCCTTTCCCCCATAGCCTCACCAGCAGTTGTTATTAAGAAATGACCAAGTGCAAAGACAACCCCAAGAGTGGGAAAAAAATCCTAGCCAGTTGTTCTTCCAACAAGTGCCTAATATCAAACATGTAAAGTACTGAAAAAAAGTCAGACTCCCTCAAACATAAAGACTCAATCCTGAAATGGACATCTGAAATGAACAGACATTTCTCAGAAGAAGTACAAATGGCAAATAAATTTATCAAAAAACATATTCAACGTCACTGATAATTTGAGAGATTCAAATTAAAACACTGAGATTCTGTCTCACTCCAGAAAGAAGGTCTGTCTCCAGGAAATCAACCTATGTGGATTTTTAAACATCACGAATATGATCTATACTTACAAATTAGTTTGAACCTATAAAATTTGATGTTTATAATTAAGTTGACAAAATTTCTTCTTTTCAGAGAGAGCCAAACTATGTGATGCACATACATTTTTTAAAAATTTTCTTTTATTTTGCCAGCTCAGCCCTGCCCTGAGGGCGGGGCTGGTGCAGCATGTGGTATCAGGTATCGAACTGCTGTCCCCTGTGCCTGCCAAAGCTTGCCTAAGCAAGCTCTTTAGACCACTGAGCTATCTCACTGGCCCGATACACATAAATTTAATCTTTGACCCTGTAATGTTCTTTGCTTGTCATTAGTGCTCCAAACTTAATTTTTAATGAAGTTCTTTCATCAAGTTGTCTTCCATAAAGTAGTCAAACATTTGCAAGTTAGAATTTATGCTCATTTGAGAGCTATAAATACTAATGTTCAGAGAGCGGAATCTTTGGAAAGAAGTAAATCTTTGGAGATAGTCACTGCTTGTCTTGTTTTATACCAATGTACTTGCACGAGTTGTGCTTTTTAAGCAAGAAGTCCCTTTGTTTCACACCAAAACCAAAATGTGACATATAAATATGCATAAATAGATTAATTCAGGTCCTAAAACTATAGCTTCTCATTGTATAACATTTATTTCCTGTTCATATACATATCATATATTTTTATTTTTGTTTTTTTTTAAATCTATTTTTAAATGAATAAATTGTTCCTTGTACAGATTCTGTTCAGGTTAGGAAACCATGAAATTCAGCTGAGATATATCTGAGTAATTCCTATGAGTTTTGTACTGATCTTATACCCAAGAAAGAAAACAAAATCTGCATTCCCACCTGCCTCAACTTAGCTGAGAAATAAGTTAATTTGGTTCAACTCTTAATAGTTGATGCTTAATGATGAGCGTGTGTAAGCAAGTTACCAGGCGCCTCTTCTTACTTGATTGCTGTTAATGCCTCTTTCTGTCTTTTTAGTTTAAAAGGTACAATGAAGATCTGGATGAAATAAGAAGGAGGGTGTTTGAGATGGCCAATTACATCAACATGGTATGACTGGCTTTATTAAATGGAATTCGACTGGGCTTTTCTGTTCTTGTTTGTGATTCTTGGAAAGAGGCCAAGAGCTTGAGACCAGCGCTGCTGCTGAGCTGGGCAGGCAGTGATCACAGCTTCTACTACTTAACTGCAC